CGGCCACTGCACTCCAGTCTGGGCGACACAATGAGACTCGAACTCAAAAAAAAACAAAGTCTTGTCTGGTGACCCAACAAGCGAAAATTCCCATAGACACAGGGAAGACAGAATGAAACAAGACCAACTGGATAGGTGGCATCCCAGGCCCCAGCTCCGAGCCTGTCACCCACGGAGGGCCTGCCCGGCCTGACGGTGGAGACACCGCCCAGGCACTGACATCCTTCCTCCCAGCCTGGCTGGAGACCAGTCCTCCAGAGCACCATCTCCAGCTGGAGGTGTGGCTTCAGCCAGAGGCCCCAGAGGGAGGACACAGACAGACAGGGGGCCAGCGACTCGTCCTACCAACGGTGGGACCTCTGCCCGTCCCAGCCTCGGGCTCACCACCCATACACTCAGATGCCGTGCAAGTGCCCATTTCAGCAGTTGAGGACATAAGGCACATGGGGAGGCAGACGGTGAATCAGTAAAAGTAAAATCCACAGCCCAGGACTTTGGGCAGCAGGAAGCACAGAAAGCAATAAAAGGATGACATGGTGGAGGGTAGTAGGGGGTGGGGAGCTTATAACAGGAAATCTGGGCAGGCCTCCAGGAGGAGGTGGCTTCTTATTTTATTTTTGGAAATTCCAGAAACATGGAACACTTCATAAATGTGTGTGTTATTCTTGCACAGGCTGTGCCGATCTCTCTGCTGTTCCAGTGTCAGTGCACACACGGTCCAGGCAAGCACAGGATGTGGCCTTGGAATAGACCAAGAGGTGAGGGAACGAGCCACACAGAAATCCCAAGAAAGATCTCTAAGTGGGAGATCAGCATGTGCAAAGGCCCTGCATCTAGAAGCAGGGAGATGGCATCGGGCTGAGGACTGCTAACAGGGAAGCATGGGAAGAAGGGGTATCAGACTGGCCTGTGGGGCCAGGCCGAGGCCATGGGAGGGGTGGGGCCTCCCAGCAAGCAGAGGGAGCTGCGGGACGTTTAAACAGAGAGCGGGTGACAGCCTGCATTGCTGGACGACCCCTCGGGCCGCTGTTGCAGCAGCCCTCTCCAGCAGAACGCCCCAATGGGAACATCCAGACAGTGGCTACCAAGCACTCGCAGTGGGTGTGTACTTGAAATGCGGCCAGTGCGACAAGAGGACGGGCTCTTTCATTGGATTTTGTTATCATCACTTTCAACTGAGGCCAGGCACGGTGGCTCACACCTCATCTCAGCACTTGGGGAGGCTGAACGGGGAGGACTGCTTGAGGCCAGGAGTTTAGGACCAGCCCAGCCAACACAGCGAGACCTCGTATCCATAAAACGATGATGATAAGCTGGACTCGGTGGCTCAGCCTGTAATCCAGCGCCTTGGGAGGCTGAGGTGAGTGGATTGCCTGAGCCCGCGGGTTCGAGACCCACCTGGGCAACTTGGAGAGACCTCATCTCTACAATAAAAAAAAAAATCAGCCGGGCATGGTAGCGTGTGCCTGTAATTCCGGCTACTCGGAAGGCTGAGGCGGAAGGATCGCTGGAGCCCAGCAGGTCGAGGCTGCGGTGGCCGGGAGTGGCCACTGCACTCCAGTCTGGGCGACAGAGTAAGACTCCAACTCCAAAAAGAAAAAAACTTATGATAATAATAATAAGAGTCCATTTAAACAGTCACAGGAGGACAGCAGGGATCACCCTGGATGGTCTGAGGAATGGGCTGCAGAATGGTGATCGTGTTATGGGGGCCAGCTGGGCACGGTGGTTCACGCCTGTCATCCCAGCACTTTGGGAGACTGAGGTGGGAGGAGCCCAGGAGCTTGAGACCAGCCTGGCAACATAGTGAGGCCCCATCTTTACAGCAAAATAGAAATAAAACTGTTTCTTTTTTTTGAGTTGGAGTCTCACTCTGTCACCCAGACTGGAGTGCAGTGGCCGCTCCTGGCCATCGCACCCTCGACCTGCTGGGCTCCAGCGATCCTTCCGTCTCAGCCTTCCGAGTAGCCGGAATTATAGGCACACGTTACCATGCCAGGCTAATTTTTTGATTTTATTGTAGAGATGAGGTCTTGCCAAGTTGCCCAGGCAGGTCTCGAACCCGCGGGCTCAGGCCATCCACTCACCTCAGCCTCCCAAAGGTGCGGGATTGCAGGCTGAGCCACCGAGCCCAGCTGAAATAAAACTGTTTGAAGGTAACAGGAGGCCAACCGGAGGGGCAGGATCACCAGGGAAGCCTGGACCATGGGGGGAGGGAGAACACGGGAGCCGAGGGAGGACTCAAGGCCTGATGGGGAGGCAAAGCCGGAGGTGACTGCTTGATGCGCAGGTGGCAGGTGGGGAAAAAGGGATGGAGCCGACGCCCGAGAGCCCCTCAATGGAGCCTTGGAGACAGGACATCTCAGGCCCGGCGCCCATCCAAACACGCCATCGTGGAGGAAAGGGTGCTGCACCAACGGTCACACCTCCCAGCGCCTCGCGCCACTGAACGAGAATGGCTTACACAACACAGGGACGCTCGTCCCCACCAAGCCCAACTGTCCAGTTCTAACCCAGGCACGGGAGGACAGAGGCACAGCCTGGGAGTCGCCCACTCCAGTCCCCAAGATGGAGGCTGTGTCAGGTCACGTGGCAAAGGGCAGAGGTCACTGGGCAGCTGCTGTAGGGTGGGAGGTGGTCCCGATGACCCGGGGACCCAGAGCAGGCTCGGGGTCCTGAAGCCTGGGAAGGGGGCAGAAGCGAGGGCAGGAGGGAGAGACGTGAGCACAGACGGAGGGAGACCGAGCCGTCGGCCTTGAAGACGGAGGAGGGTCTGCAAACCCTGAAACCAGGCGGCCTCCGGGAGCTGGAGGAGTCAGAGCCTCCAGGAGGGTCACGGCTGGCCTCTATCGACCTCCTCCGAGATGCCTGTGGCCTCCAGAAGCCGGAAGAGGCAGAGCCTCCGGGAGGATCGCGGCCTGCCTTCCTTGACCTCCACCCGCGCCCGCAGAGCCTCTGAACGACAGAGCCGCAAGGTGACAGGCCCGTGTGGTTCCGAGCCCCCAGGTCGGGGAAGCGGGTCGCGCATCCTTCTCACACCTTTCCATGCCCTCCTCGTCTCCCCCTCATGGGACCACCAAGAGGACAGAGGCCCGAGGCCAGGCAGACCCGAGCAAGTCTCCAGCGCCACCCACCCCCGCCGCCGCAGGCGACACGTACTGAACCTGCAGGTGCTGACGTTCTGGATCCCGGACTCCCGGCACGGGCAGAAGCCCTCGTTGGGCGGGTAGACGGACCCATTGGCAAACAGGGTGGGGGGCGCCCCGAAGCGGTAGGTGGGGATGCCTTCAAACACCCCTGTGGCCTGGAAGTCCAGCTTCATGGACCTGTGGGGACAGACGTGGTGAGCCAGGCACTGGGAGCGCAGCAGCCAGAATGGGGACCACAGAGGGGTCCAGTCTAGCCACGTCTCGCCGGTCGCTGCCCCTCCCAGGTCCTGGCCACCACCGTCTCGCCTGGGAGCTGCAGCCCCGGACTCGGTTCTGCCTCCCCGCCCGTGCAGAGCCAGCAGGCATCTCAGCATCCAGATGGCCACTGGCCAGATGCAGAGGGAGCCGCTTCCTGTCTGCACCTCACAGCCCCTGTGACCGTGACCATGTCCTGCCCCTCCGTCACCAGGCCCAAGGACCGCTGGCCTCCCTCGGGACCTCCCAGAAGCGTCCACAGCTGGAGCTGGGCTCTCCAGAGGCAGCCAAAGAGGATTCAAAACAGCACCAAGGGGGCCGGTACGGTGGCTCACGCCTGTAGTCCCAACACCTCAGGAGGCCGAGGCAAGAGGATCGCTTGAGTCCAGGAGTTCAAGACCAGCCTGGGCAACCTGGCAAGACCTCATCTCTACAATTCAAATATACACACTAGCTGGGTGTGGTGGCAGGTGCCTGTAGTCCCAGCTACTCAGGAAGCTGCGGTGGAAGGATGTGGTAGCCGTGATCCTGCCACTGCACGCCAGTCTGGGCGACAGGGAGACTCCAACTCAAAAATAATGATAATGAAAGATGGCACCAAGGGCCCCTGGGTCAAATCGACCAGAAGTCAGGGCACCCCCCAGCCCAACTCAAGCCACCGCCTCGGCCAGGAGCCATCCTACGGCCGGGAGCCGTGTCTGAGTGGTTACCGGCAGGCGTCGGGGCTGTAGAACTCCAGCGAGGACTCAGGGGTCATGAACGGCGCCCACATCTGCCCGGAAGTCCCATTGATCATGTTACACTGGTCGGAATGCCAGAAGTTGACCTGGGGGAGCAGACGGATGTGACCGCTCGGCACAGCAAGCCCTGAACGCTGGTTCCCAGGCCCTGCACTCCCGACCCGCCCGGGTGCGGGCAGCGCCACTCAGCCCCGGACACTGGCTCAGCGGGAAGAGAGCCGGCGGTGTGGACAGACAGAGTGTTCACACAGCTGCCTGCTCCCAGCTGGGGACCCTGGGATGTGTGATTTGGCCAGGGCCTCGGCGCCTTCATCTGTGAAATGGGCCCGTCACCCACGTCTCCAGGCTGAGTTGAGGTGGGGGGAGGTGGACGCTGCCGTCGTCACCCGCAGAGCGGACGCCAGTAGACACCTCCCAAAACGGATCGGCACGCGGGCCCACTACTTAAAATCATGATGGTGAGCCGGGCTCAGTGGCTCAGCCGGTCATCCCAGCACCTTGGGAGGCCGACGCGAGTGGATTGCCTGAGCCTGCGTGTTCAAGACTCACCTGGGCAACTTGGTGAGACCTCATCTCTACAATAAATCAAAAATTAGCCGGGCGTGGTACTGCGTGCCTATAGTTCCGGCTACTCGGAAGGTTGAAGCGGAAGGATCGCCGGAGCCCAGCAGGTCGAGGCTGCGGTGGCCGGGAGTGGCCACTGCACTCCAGTCTGGGTGACAGAGTGAGACTCCACTCAAAAAAAAAAAAAGTCATGACAGTGGCCACTACCAGAGACCTCAAAATGGAGCCAATCAGAGTAGCCGCCTCAGAAGAGCGGTACCTGGACTTGACAGTCTGGTCACTTTCAGTCAGCGCTTTTGTAATTGTATGCACATGCATATTACATTGAAATATGCAGTCAGGCACGGTGGTTCAGACCTGTAATCCCAGCACTCTGGGAGGCTGAGGCAGAAGGATTGCTTGAGGCCAGGAGTTTGAGACCAGCCTGGGCAATATAGCAAGACCCCTGTCCAAAAAAGAAAGAAAGAAAGAAAGAAAGAAACGTGCAAGCCACAAAGAATGTGAACAGTGTCCATCAAGAACGGTTACTGTGGGGCACCGGTCAGGGCACACACCGTTCCCAGCCCTCAGGGTGTCTGCGGCCAGCCCACGGCATGCCACTGCACAGTCACTTCACGCATCTCGAGGAAAGGTCACAAAGGTGAAAAAAGCAAGTTGCAAAACCAGGCAGGGGCGTGATTTCATTGTGTGGAAAACAGAGCCACACTCTATGTATGGACAGGCGTGCGTGTGAACAGAGCCAGGAGGAACTGATCCCAGCTGGTCACGGTGAGCTTCCTCCATGCTGGAGTGGGGCGGGCAGTATAAAGAGACCACCGCGTGCCTCGCTCCTGTTTTATTTTATTTATTTATTTATTTTTTGAGTTGGAGTCTCACTCCGTTGCCCAGACTGGAGGGCAGTGGCATGCTCCTGGCCACCACAGCCTCGACCTGCTGGGCTCCGGCGATCCTTCCGCCTCAGCCTTCCGAGTAGCCAGAATTACAGGCGACTGAGCCCTGCCGTGTAGTATTTTCAAAACATTTTTGTATCACGCCTGTAATCCCACTACCCTGGGAGGCTGAGGGGAAAGGATTGCTTAAACTCAGGAGTTTAAACCCAGGAGACCAGCCTGGGCAACATAGTGAGACCTCATCTCTACAAAAAAATCAAAAGATTAGCCAGGCGTGGTAGCGCATGCCTGTAGTCCCAGCACTCTGGAAGGCTGAGGAGAGAGGACTACTTGAGTCTAGGAGTTCAAGACCAGCCTGGGCAACATAGTGAGACCCCCATTTCTACAAAAAAAATTTTAAAAATAAAGGAAGAAAAATGTGTAAGTAAAGAATCCAAGGAAGGAAGAGCTGAGTTCCTAGTGGCCCCCAGGTGCGCCACAGGCAGTCCCCGACTCCCACTCCGCCAGCGGGTGAGCCCTGACCACACCGACAGCCCCGACTCCAAAGCACCGCAGACACCGCCCACCCTGCCCAGGCCCAAGAGAGAAGGTGGTGGCACCTGCGCCCCGTGCCCCATCTCACCCTGCTCAGCCCGTTCCACTTGTCCACCAGGTGAATCCTGCCAAAGTCCTTGACCCCCGTGAACACGGTAAAGAGCCCAGAGTTGGAGTTGTTGAGCTGTGGGCAAGGGCGGGTCTCTGAGTTCGGGCCGGACCCCCAGCCCACCCCCCCCGCCACAGTTCACTGCCACATTCCCACATCTGGGGATCGAGAGAGCTGGAGCCTTCTAGGAGGGACACGTCCCTGGTTGCAGGGAGCGGGAGCGTCCCAACCTCCCCTCCTCACCCCAGGAGGGTCTGGCTCTCCTTCCGGGGTCCCCCCCGCCCCAAATCTAAATAAAGCACAGCCGGTCAGCTCTGTGTTCAGCGAAGAAGACGCAGCAGCAGGACAGGTGCGATGGCTCACATCTGTCAGCCCAGCACTTTGGGAGACTCAGGCGGAAGAACTGCTTGAAGCCAGGAGTTTGAAACCAGCCTGGGCCACCTAGCAAGATCCCATCTCCACCAAAAAAAAGAGAGAGGAGAAGAAGTGGCATGTCCCTTTGGGTGGACACTTTAGGACTGAGCATGCACCTGTCCCCAAGCTCTGCCCAGCATTTCTAGAGAGGAAGGCCTGGGCATTTCCTGGAAGCAGGTTTCTAGCCTGGAACAAAGACGTGCAAAGTCCACGCAGGTGTGCGCGGCTGCAGGAAGTCTCCAGAAGTGCTGGGGACGGCAGCAATGCCAAAGTGCTCCGCCAAGCCTGGACAGCCGAGTGGCAGCGTCCGTCACGGACTGTTAGAGCAGGGCCAGCACAAAGCCCCGCCCTCTTGGGCATCTCTGCCGCTCACCTGCCTGAACAGAGCCGAGACTAATAGGACCAGAGGGCGGTCAGGGCATTGAGGGAGCTGATACATCAACGGGTAGGCACAGTGCCCGGACATAGTGAGGGCTCAGCATGCCAGGCTGGATTACTGTTACTGTTGTGGACACTGTATCTATCACGTGCAGGTGCAGAATCGTGAATCCCACAGATCAGCAGAGCCCAAAGAGAAGGCTGAGGCTGGAGCAACCCAGGGCTCCTTAAAAACTGCTCTGGAGCCGGGCTTGGTGGCTCAGCCTGTAATCCCGCACCTTGGGAGGCTGAGGTGAGTGGATTG